GATAGATAGAGTAGATTAGATGGATGGACTAGATAGATAGATAGATACGATGTGGTAGTGATGATAGGATAGATAGATAGATAGATAATAGATAGAATATGGATAGATATATGAGATAGATTAGATAGATAGATGATAGATAGATAGATAGAATGAATGATAGATAATAATGAAGATAGAGTAGATAGTAGATAGATAGCTACGAAAATAAGAATAGATAGATAGATAAATAGAATAAATAGTTTTGGAATAGATAGATAAATTATAGATTAGATAAATAGAATAGAATACGATAGATCGTAGATAGATTAAGATAGATAGGATAATGATAGATACGATATGATAGAATAGATAGATTAGATATGATAGATAGATCTATTATATATATATATATATAGAAGGTAAAGAATAGATATTACTATAATATTTATATATATGATAGATAGATAGATAGATAGATACGATAGATAGATAGAATAAGCATAGATTAGATAGATAGATTAGATAGATAGATAGATAGATAGATAGATAATAGATTAGATAGATAGATTAGATAGATAGATAGATTAGATAGATATGATATGATAGATAATGATAGATAGACTAGTATAGATAGATAGATAGATAGACTAGATAGATAGATAGATAGATAGATAGATAGATAGATAAGATAGATAGATACGATAGATAGAGTTATGATAAGAATTAGAGTAAGATGAGATAGAGATAGAATAGATTAGATATGATATGATAGATAAGATAATAAGATAGATAGATAGATGTAGATAGATAGAGCATGTAGAAATGGTTTGTTTATTTTCATCTGCGAGGGGTCCCCCGGAATAAATTAAACACAGAACACGTGAGACGTAGAGAGCAACTTATTAACGTATTTATCTTCATCATTATAGTAAATCGCAGCATCAGGCAATACGCGCACAGCAATACCGCGCAATAGCAATAGCGCACAGCAATAGCGCGCACAGCACAATAACGCACACAGCAATACGGCACACAGCAAACGACACACAGCAATACGCGCGCAACAGCAATACGCACTACTAGTCGTAGCGGACGATCACTGTTGTTACTGTCGGCGACTATATATAACATCACACGTCCTTTCGCACTATTCGGCGCGGCGCGGACCGAAGTGAAATTACCCTCATGTACGTGCGCTGGCGCAGCTGAAGGCACCTCGCGCGCTACCGGACAGAAGTGTGTGTGTGTGTGTGTGTGCGTGCGTGCGTGCGTGCGTGTACTAGGTAAGCTTAACGAAGGAATATATAAATCGCATATGACGAGGCCGTGGCGCACGTCCTGATGTTTCAAACATCTAAACCTGGCACGGGGGGGCTTACGCTTGCTCTCCGCTTGTGTCATTAATCACCGTGTAGCTTTCAAGGTCATCGGAGACATACGGCCGTAAGTCTTCTCCCTTTTTTAAATCGATGGCCATGAGTCTGGAAAGATTTTTGTCTCGCCATTATTTTTTGACCCACAACTAGTAGGAGATTGCACCGGCGGGCGACTTCAAACTGCCGTCCTTGGATTGAATAGGGTGTGATAGATTCTTCCGTGAGCACGCGAGAAACAGTGTCCGTTCATTTACATCCATTCACCTTTCAGTTACGAACGCAGTCTTTTCAACGTCGGCTTTAGGCATGTGGTGCGGCGGCGGCGGCGGCAGCGGGGGGGGGGGTAGCGGGACAGGCTCCGTAAATAAACTGCCACGCGACGATTTAACAGATGTTGGAAGAAAATTAGTGCAGTTCTCTGAATTCAAACTCGGCCCTGACATAATAATTTATAGATGGCGACGATTTGTAGAATAGTTTAGTAAATAAATGATTCTCGTCGGTGCGCGCTACATGAACACTCAGTTCTCATTGCTATCATACCCCGATGGATGTATTTTACTGCAAAAACACCGCAGGAGTGGGACGGCCCCGTTTATATGACGCAACTAAGTATATTTGCCTTTCAATTGGCAGTCGCATACGCTTCAATAGCGCAGCACGAGCGAATTAAACCACATTTGCCTGGGAGGGGAAAATGTGACATTTAACGGGTTTGCGGGAAATGTAGTGAGTCACGTACAATCAGACATGGTGACGTAGCAAATAGCAGGGGGAAATTGCAAGATTTTCAACTCTCGTTGTTTCGTTTGTGTTTTGGAATGTCCAATCTCTTCGGAACATTGCTAATATGGCTGCTTCATAATGACTCTCATTAATTCAACAAACTCTCGTTCGAACGCCGTATATGTTATATGCCGGGTATACAGAGCAAGTATAGTGTTTTAAGTAAGAGATAACGGTGTTTAGTTGAGCAGTGTGCGATTCCGTATACAGATAACAGCAGAGTGAATATAGTAGGGAAGCAAGTGAAGTAATAACTGCACGTTAGTTAGTATTTAGTCCGTAGCCAGAGAAAACGAACGAGGAACCCTTATAGTATTGTCGCAACAGTTGTGTTCTTATTATCGTAATAAATAGATAATAGGGAATTAGGGGATATAATAATTCCCTATTATCTACTTCTGATATTATGTATGTATATAATATGTATGTATATAATGTATGTAGAAATATCAATGAGTTCTGCATAGCTAATTGTTAAGCGCGTTTAGAAAGTTTAGAGACAACAATTAACGAGCATTTAAGAATTCCTTACTAGACGAAATGCATTACACGGAGTCTAAAATATAAATATAGAAGATATTAGCGTTAGCATGTGGTTGGAAGGATGAGAAAAATAATAGTTGATCGCGCATCTCAAATGTTTGAAGCAACGTTAACGGAATTGCTGTGAGTTCACCGGAATATACCGCCGAGAGACACTGATCGCGGTGACCAATCATAGAACCTAACCAATATAACATTCGCCAACTGCTTGCGTGTAATTTGGGTCACACGGTTGTATTAAAAACTCGTGCGGGCGGTTTTGATAGTCAGCCCACGAGTCTTCACGACATATTGTATCTTTGCATCTTGTGTCTTTTGAAAAAAATTATTCCTTGTCAAAAAACTTCCTATTCGCTGTTCCTAAATAGGACGAGAGAGAGATTGCGGAGAGAGGAGCGTCGTCGTTTGTTAGATTTCTATTCGGAGTCTTCGAGCTTGTAGACGCGAATAGAGTCGACCTGGAGGGCGCTGTCATCGCCCTGCCACGTCGGCGACCATTCGTCCTTGCCCTCCCAGAAGTCTCGCATCGGGAACTGTGCGGTATTAAGCCACGGCTTGCCGTTGTCGCCGTACGTCCAGCCGTCACTGAAGAATCCGTTCGATCCACCGACAGCAAGATTGATCGACAGATAGAACTGGAGGGAGAGAGAGATGTGTAGAAACGTATTATTGATTATAGATTATAGATTATTGATTATAAATTATAGATGCACCGCGTATACTGCATATAGTCGCAGTAATTCACACAAGAGCGTTTTACAATTGATATCGGAAAAACTTGTGCGATTTGCTTTCACAAAGGACACTGATTCACTCTGCATCGACATTTATCTCAAATGGACAACGTTTTTCACGTAAAATAGTCGCATAATGGCATCAGAACTGTGTGAGTTACGCGTAATTGGGTGATGAACACTAACAACAATAAATATAGTAGAAAATACCTCTTGATCGAAAGGCGCCATTTTGTCTCCAGCGGCCCATGGATTATCAATGTCTATAAATTGAGAATATTGGCCAAGCTCAAAGAAGTCGCTAGGTGGCACTACGCTCAGCAACGGAACATCATCAATGGTGAAGCTGGATGGAATAAACAACAAACAATTGTAAAAACCCAGTCAAGCTACTCTAACTCTCACTCTCACTCTCACTCTCACTCTAACTCTAACTCTCACTCTAACTCTCACTCTCACTCTAGCGAAAGCTTCTTGACTTGATATAGCCAACCATTTAATTTAAAACGGAGAGACACAGAGACAGGTAGCTGTACCGATAGGCATGGTCTTACTGCCACAGACACAAAGCTAGGACGTAGCAGCAGCAAGCACGGGGCGGTACAGTACAGCTATAGGGTGTAGGATACCTATATAAGCACTTATCTAATCTGACAGATTCATAACTTATAAAGATAAGCCTTTTTAATACGCTCTTGATAACTTACTTCATCGCGCTCGAGGTCCAAGTGACGCCATATGTGTGGAAACCTCCACCGATGTGCCTGATAAAATAAAATAAAATATAAATAAGCGAATAAAAGATAATAAAACGCACGAATTAAAAGGCGAGCAAATACATTCACTGTTTTATCTTTATTATTTATAATAATAGATTTTCTTTCTGGATACTGACTGCAGAGGGAGGAAATCGGCAACCGTGTTATTTCCGGTAACTATAATTTTTATTCGCTATACGAAGAAAAGCGAAAAGAGCAAATTATCAACGTGAGCATATATAATACTGCAATAATAAAATGCGTTCGTTAATAGGACCTACTTATATTACCTACAATAAACAGCGCATGCATCCGACGCTTATACTTCTACAACAGGAAGGGGGGGGCTTAAATCAAAATACGTGACGCATAGCACTTGCACGTACTTTCCAGCGATGGTTCTAAAGAAAGCGTTGGTCAGTGGATACGGGCCCCAGTGCATAGTGGCCTGCACGACTCCCTGACCGAGAGATTGACCGGGAAGCTGGGTGGTGACGTTAGCGTTTCCTCGAGCTTCAACGATGTCTATCTCACCGGACGCTGGCCACTTGCCGTAAGCGTTGTTCCTTGGAAGCAGCTTGATTCCTGCGAGAGCGAAGAAAGCACGCACTGTATACGAGCTGATCGCACTCTCTTGTAGTGAATTTGTGTGCATTAATGTTAAGGTATTGGCATGGCTGTTAGTGTGAGTATTATTTGGTGTTGTCTCACGCATGTGGGCTTAATTTTGAGTGTGCATACGATTACGTCATTCGAACTTTATTCTAGTTCTAGATTACTAGATACCTTCATTCTTCTAGTCACGACTATATAAATTATAATTTTATGTTAATTGTGTCCACGCTTCCATCAAGATCGTGATAACAAAGGTTGGACTCATTCAGATCTGTAGCGTAGTGAAATGATACATAGGTAGAGACAGAGTTGATACGAATGAACATATTAACAGAGCGAAGACTGCGGAGATGTCTGTACCTGGCCACAACCAGTCTCCCACGGGCATCTGCGCCTTGACCTCCACTTTTCCGTATTTGAAGGCGAATGAGTTGAGAGTTCTGAGACGCGCAGATTGGATTGGATTGATGATTTCACCTGCAAGGTTGAACATATTTCATACATATAGGCCCTTATATATAGTGTAATATATTTGTATATATATATATCACATTTATTTATCTATATATGCCAAAAAAAATTATCTCCGAAACTCCCTCGAGTTTTCGCTCGATTGTTAAGGTGTACGCATTCACCGCTTCACCACACTTCTTCCTGTTATATACCTTGGAATGGCGCCGAAGTCTTTGGGTCGAATCCGGGTCCTTCGCGGTAGCAGCCGAAAAAATGGTTGTCGCTGCATCCGTCGTTCTTGCCGTTGCCGCCCCACAGATCGAGCGTGCCACCATACACGAATCCGTCACCGTACTGATCGTCCGTAAACGTCTGCATCACACAGTTACACATTCACCGCAACGCTAGCTAACCGTAGCAAACACATGCGATACAACTGTCGATATTCTTATTATTATTATAATAATAATAA